TCTCTTTCTGGAGACAGAGAGAATAACATGGGAAAGGGAGGTGCAGTCAAGAGAAACTTAATGGGTTTAAGACAAGGGTTTTGAGCACCTAAAGTCTCTTAAAAATAATCAAAATCAACTCTGGGAGAAATTCAGTCACACAGACAGAAAAACAGGTGAGAGATTTCAAACATGAATTAATGTTAAATGATACCAAATTGAGCTGGGAATAGCAGGGCTAATAGGATGCCAAATGGTTTGGCACTAGTCTTATTTAATGCCACTAATGCGCTAGAAGAGAGGTTAAATTACACTTGTGGATACCACTAAAGTAGAAGGAGTCTCTCTCTAACACAAATAATTACCAAAAGCAGACCTTAAGAAATTAAAAATATGGGCAGGAAAAAGCATGAATCGATTTGGAAATGTCCAAATTAAGACTCGCAGAAAAATACAGAGGTGCTCAGCTTCCCAGGAGGGAAACAGGTCAGGGCAGATGATCCACGTCCAGCGAAGCCAACACAGCCTGTTGGAAGGATGAGAGAGATCAGGGAGGAAGGCAAGGGAACAGCGGGTGCCAAGTCCTGTCTGAAAACATGTTCCTCTCCCCAAATACCTTGCAATACAAATATGAGGAACAGAGCAGATACAGATTGGAAATGAAAGCATAAAAGGAGAGAAGATTGTCTCTTGGGGTAGGCAGTGGTTTTGGCACTGCTGCAGGGAGGTTTCTGGTAGCGTCCCAGAAGAGGAGCAATTTAATGTCTGTCCCCATAAAGGTGACATCATTTGAAGGACCACTCCACACTGCCTCCAGTGGAAAGGTTACATCTTGCATACCACAACCACACACCTCACTGAATTTCTCGCTATACAGCTTATTCCCCAGACTCTGAGGAAGCCACAAGGCTCTTTTATTACCTTCGTGCAGACCTCAAAATACATGCTAGTTGTCAAGAGGCAGCTTCGTGACTGCCACTGATGATGTAAAATTATTCTTCCTACCTACAGTCTCTCTTTTTTCTCTCCTTCTTTTGTATATGGATATATATGGATCGTGGTAGCTTCTTTTTACCACAGTCTTTGTGCTGGGAACTCAATATTGAGTTGTTTGTTCAAAGAAAGCTACCTGAAAACTGCTATTTCTGATGTAAAGGTCAAGGAAAGGAGAAAAAAAAAAAAAAGGCTTAGAAAAAAGTCCTGACAAAATACACCACCAGAAAATATGAACAAGGAAGAAATCGGGTTGAGTAGAGCCACGAATGCCAGCACAAGCAGCTCAGCTCCTGTACGGCATCGCTGCGAACATCACGAAGGAGGCAGGAAGGACAGAAGCTGAAAGCAAACAAGACCGGCTCACGTTCCTCCTTTGCAGTCCTCTGCTAACCTGCACTTTTTCAGTCTGAGAACTTAGACCGAGGCAGCATATTTTAAAACATGCCCAAAGAACCAATTGTCAGAAGTTTCATGAATGAATAAACATAAAGAAGGCCAAGGCCAAGAGTATGAATATTTAATTATTGACTGACTGCCGTGCTCTTGCACCTGGGGGAACGCTCTGCCTCATGGCCATGAAGCCGGAGGGAGCAGAGCAGCAGTGCCCAAACTGGCACCAGCAGGGCCAGACCTCCTCTGGGACTTACTTCTCCGGACCACGGCCCCTCTTTCTGTAGCAGTCAAAAGCCACCTTAGCCTTTGGGCCTGAGGGAAACTTCCTTGGTTTCGACTGGCTTTCAATATCACGTTGTTTGCCCTTTAATCAAAATCTAAGGGAAATGCAAAATATGTCATTAAAACATTAAATAATTCTGATTTGCTGCCATAGATGCAAGAAGGTTTTCCCTAAAATGAAAAATCTGGCAGAATCAACTCTAACAATTCTGGTAACAAACTCAGTGAAAGCAGCAAGACCCACAGAAATAGTCACTGTCTGGGAAGTCAGCACGAACCTTCCCATCGACCCAGAAAGGTTGGGTTGATCCCACATGGAACAAACCCATGATTTTTCTATTTGAGAGAGCAACAAAATACCTAGAAGCCACATTTACCCATCAGTTCTTCCCTCCTCGTGGTATCACACCCCCTCCACGACCACCTGAAGCAGTGGAGGGAGCGTGTGGATGCAGCCTACACCTGACCATGTCTAGCAGCAGAACATAAAAGGCCTCTCTATCTCCAAACCTCCAAACAGTTTTAAATTTACAGCCTGCAGCATACACAAATCAGGGTGGGAAGTGTCTGTGTGTATCTGAAATCACATAAAGCCTGACATTCAGAAAAGCACCGGCCTGCTGGCACGCACAGATCAGTTACTAGAAAACAGAACAGCAAGGAGAAGGATATAAAGAATCAATAAGCAGAGGCTGTGGTGTGCAAACAATTGCCACGGCGCGGGGACCTTGCTTGGCAGGGATGGCTCCACGTGCTTCGACTACAGCATGCGTGTGATTATTTTCTTGCCTTCCTAGCAGGCATGGAATAAGAGGTGGAGGGATAAAGACGTGTATTATGCTGCTGTGACTTTTCCTGCCCGTGTCAGTTTGCAGTGTGACATTATCTGTGCTGAGCTCACTGGCTGGTGGACTGAACCAAGAGAAGCAGCAGTTTTCCCCATGCAGCGAAGAGAGAGATTTGGAGCAGGATGGAAGCACTAAACATGAAACAAACAGAAAGAACCTTAGGAAAACAATGCAACTTCATTTTCTTCTCCTGCCTTTAATCTTTCAGGCTTCTGGCATTTATGAGATGGAGTCTGGCACTCTGGCACAGGCTCAGCAGGCACTGGGGACAAACAGGCTTGCTTCAGATGGCAGGTCCTCTGACTCACCAAAGTCACCCGTGTGACACCCTGGGCAGCTCGAGCCAGTCCCTCTCTTTCCAGCTCTATTAGGCAGAAACAAATTGTCCTGTGCCCTTCATCATTATCATCTCTGTCTTGAAATCCTTGCGTCCCAGGGCACTGTCCCTGCTGCCTCTCACCACGACCTTGCGCTAATGAACAAGCGTCCCCGGGAGACGTCTGGCTGTGCTCGGGTGTGCAGGCAGAGCGGCTGCGAGAGGAGTACTGAGAATTACTGAGGAGTAACGTACACTCTGGGAGAGAAGGATGGTCTGCAGGGAGTTTCCAGTAGCAGCTTTCACTTCTTGCTGCCCTGGGAAACACCCAGCCAGCTCCCTAGGATGCTCCCACAGCTCCTCATTGCTAGTGCCCGAGTGACCCTCTCATACAGCGGGGACCAAAACCCCATTTCCCTGCTAGGGATCAAGAGAGAGATTAAGGCTCTGATTGACTTAAACTTCCAAGTTCAACATTTTCATTCTGTGTCAGAAAGAGTCAGCAGAGAGAAACAGGAGCCTGCAGTAAACAATTAAGCTCAAAAGTGGTTGCATTACCCCTACAAATGTCTCCCTTTTTCTCCTTTGTCTATAAAGGGAGCCCTGGTGACCTCAGTGCCCGGCTAGATGGTCCTAGGGGTTTTTATGCCAAAGCAACTCGACGGATGGGAAGGCATCTGTCCCAGCCCAAATCACAGCCCTCTCCACCAGACAGTCCACCTACTTCAGGCTACCAGCATTGACAAGTTTCTGACTTTATGGGGCCACTGGAGGAGCAAAGCTGAAGGCTTGGCCCTAAACTCTCCAGGGCCAACCAAGGGAGAAATGTACAACTTCACAATACAGAGGAGGGGATTACCCCTCAATCCTCAGCAGTCCAGCACCATTTCAGGGGAGTGAGAGAATGTTAGGGCGTTAACATCCATTGAGTCTTGCCTGACACAAGGAACAAGGAAAGAACTGTCTCTCAGAGCCAATGGGATTGGACTGGAGGAAGCAAAAAGGGCACAATGTGATTGCAGGGAGTTGGGTCATTTAGAGAAGAAAAACACACCAGAAAAGAAACCCCAAGTGATGAAGTAAAACTCTGGAGCTTGAGGATTTTGAGTTTCAAACATGCCCCATTCATGAGCAGCACAGAGATACGCCCAGAGTCCAATGGCTTCCTTTTCAACTTATTTTACTGGTGAGCACCTTAAACCATATAAAATTTTAACCCCAAATGCCCCTTCCAGGAACAGCTGAGGTCCCAGTATGTCCCATCTTGTTCTAAGACTCGTTATGCTGGTAAGGCTGGAGAAGCTCGGAGGTGGTATGTCTACAAGTATATATGGTGGGATGAAAGAGATGTAGGATCTCGCTTTACACGAGGTCTGCAGCAAAACTGTAGCCAACTCTGGACTAGTACAGCCTCAGCAGGGCCCAGCCAAACCACAGAGCATCTTTTAGGAACCCGTTTGACTATGGAGGCAGCCTGCTGTAGCTGCAGGTCACACCAAGTTAGGCTGCTGATAGATCAGCTCTGCTCTAGCCCCGAGGGTGATCCTGCTGTTTCTGCTTGTTAAGACATGATCCTCGCGAATGCCAGTGCTGCAGGAGGAAACCAGCACACACTTGCTCCCACCGAAGCAAGCCTGGCCTCCTCTCATGGCAGCAGCAAAACACATTCCCTGGAGGCAGGCTAAGAGCACCTTGAGCAAAACACTAGCTCCAAACATAATGGGTTTGGATGTGAGATGCATGAAGAGGGCACAGGACCAGGATCTTTAACAGAAAACTCTTCCCTGCCAGCTCAGGGAGGTGAGAGTGACTTTCTCCACCTGCTAGGTCTGAGCTGCACTCTTGGATATCTACACTAAAAACAACCCTGGGCTATCTCAAAGGGGAGAAATCAAGTGTGGGGGGATGCTAAGGCAGAAGGCAAATACAACCTCTTCCAGAAGTTGTAAGGCTGCATTTCTCTCTGCACCACCACTTTGCTCCCTCTAGGCTTAGTATCCAAAACATCCAAAGAACCTGCCCTGAAAAGCCATCCCCAGAAATGTAACGCTCACCTTTACACCAGGAGCCCTGCCTGGCGGGGGGCAGAGGCGCAGGAACAGCAGCAGTTATGTGCCCCAGGGCCCTGCAGCCCCAGCCCCTGACACTCTGCCTCCCGCCCCAGCCCACTCTGGGGTCACTCTTACCTTTAAGCCAGTGCTCTCTGCCTCAGAGCCTTTATCTACACCAGTGATGTAGATGCCCAGGGAATATTCTGCGCCTCCTCGGATCATGAGGCCCAGGGATTTCCCTTCATTCAGGACCAGATTCACCTGCAGAGGAACAGGAACAGCCATTTATGCGGTGACTGAGCACTGCACAAAAGCAGCGTGAGCTCCACGCTTCTGACAACAGCCACGTCCCTCCTGCTGCCACCGGCTCTCCCACCGGTCCCCGAGTGAGCAGCACACCCCCTTGGGACTGAGCCCCTTCTGTAGAATCCTCCAGACACCCGCAGGCCAGGACAGAGCTCTAAACCAGGGATATCCCCCCCGTGCTGCGGCCGGCTCCTGTAGCAATGCGGAGGAGGGAGGAGAGCAGGCCCAGTCGCTCCCACGGCTCCCCAGGTTTGTCTGTCTCTCCGTCCCTGGACCGTCAGCCAGGGCTGGCTGTGGCTCAAAGGATGCTTTAGGGGTACATGGCCTGCAGGGTGGGCAGTGCCCCGAGCATCCCCAGAGTTAACCACAGGCACGGGAGGGACAGACAGGGCCATTCTACCAAGGGCGGCATTTTCCAGTGAAGCGTGGGAAAATATGCGACATGCATGATTTGGGTTTGTTTTGTCTTCTTCTGTTTTTTCAATAATTTAGAGGCTCAAGTGGGACGCGAGGGCAGATCACGTTGAGAAGGTGTGGACGTCTGGCTCTTCCAAAGGAAAACGTGGGAGAAGTGAGAAAGATGGAATGACATCCAGGACCCAGGTGGCAAATCCAGAAGCAAAGCACTGGCACGGAAAGAGGTTAATGCCTCAAGTGGAGCGAGTAATGCTATTTCAGGAAGGACCTGGGCCTCAGGAAAGGAGACACAGCTTAGGCAAGGGCTGAGAGTCCATTTTTCAGGCTGAGTCCAGCTGTCAGCCAGACAAGGGACTGCCACAGCTCTGATGGATAGTGCCCTTCTCCTCCTGTCTGTGCTACAGAAACGCAGCCTCCAGTATTAGCAACCATAAACATCAACTAAAAAAGCAAGCTGTAGTTTTCATTCCAGTTTATCACAAACACCCTCAGGGTTCAGACGGAGCTGCTGTTAAGCTCTCTGGCTGAAGGCCCACCACACCTCCCCTGACACCAGCCCCAGGTGCCACAGGACACAGGGTGACAAAGCAGCCCCGACGGGGCCCTTCTGTTCCTGTTCTGCAATCCTCAGAAACACGAGGAGGAAACCGTGCAGGTGAAGGGAGAGGTAGGATACACACCTGGCTGAGCACAGGATAGCTGTACCCCTGCCATGTCCCTCGGCCGGACCGGGCAGGTCCTGTGGGACAGGGGAGGCAGCGAGGAATACGAGAAGGAAACGCCAGCTCTGGAGATCTGAGAGGGTTCAGCTACACGAGGGGCAGCACACGTGGCCTGGCAGGATTACAGCCACAAACCAGAGGAAGAGTTGACCTGCCGCAGCGTTCAGCGCTCTCCTTTTACAGGTGCATCTCTGGGCTAGATACTTAGCAGAGAAAAATCCCCAAAGCACCACTGACGGAGCGGTGCCAGGCAGCACTGGCTGCGCCTTTCCCCTCTGCCTGCCCCTGCTCTGCGCAAACCTGCGATTACACAGCAACTCCCCACATCCACCCAGACTGGGGAACAGCCCGGCTCCACTCCTCTGTCCTTCTTCCACGTAGCAGTGGCTGCGAGGGGCCACTCCAGGCACTCTCCCCTCGGGAGAGGGTACAGAGAACAAGCGACAAGACGAGGAACCCAGAGGCACGGGCTGCAGTGGGGAAAGGCCCCAGCACAGCCCAGGCTGGTCCCCACACACCTCCACCAGCCCTGCACTGGTCCCTGCTCCGTAGGACACCCTACCCAGCACACAGCAGGAGCTCAGGACTCCTCCACACAGCCGTGTGCCTTATTAACTTTAATTAATAATGCTAGGACAGATTTTCCATCTATCCTGCCCAGAACAGCCAGCACATACTGCAATAGATGTTCAATATTTTCCACAAACCTCTGACAGGCTGAAGTACCACGCAGTACCTGGACAGCTGTTTTCCTCACCAAATGCTGGCCGCAGGGCTGATTTTGCAAGGTATGCCAAAGCTATTAGCCAGCTTCCCATCTGCCTTCTTCCAACCTTTCCTACTCAGAGGGCCTGACGATGTATGAAAGTTCAGGTGAGAATTTAGAGTGAATGAGCAAGCCTGTGTTTAGCTCCCATGAAGACTCTCAATTTAAAATGGCCTTTGTTCACTTGCTGCACGACATTTTCTAAACTAATAACTCCAGGTTTTTTTTTGCTTTTGTCCCAAGTTTCAAGTCAATTCTGGAGAAAAGCAGACAGCAGGAATAAAAACAAATGAGAAAAGCCAAAATGTGTTTCACACTGATAGAAACAACCAGAAACAGACTGCTTGTGAATGGCTTTTATATTTAAAACTCTTCATTGCAGTCAAATCAAAAGCTTGCACATTTACTTGGAAGGAAAAGTAATTTCCAGATTCAAGTCACCAATTAACCTGCCTTTCTAGAGGACACAACACCACGCAGGGAATTCAGCCCAGCCTTAGAGAGGCTGGTATTGAAAACCCATTTTCTATTTTGGTGGTGGTGCAGCAGCAGGACAGAAATCAGCAGCAGTGCATAAATCTACCTAAGGACAATGCACTGCAAAATTTTGCACTTTAAGAAATGAATGCTAAAACAGCTCTTACTTTTCTATACCGGTATCGCAGGTGGCTGGCAATGCCTCAACAGCTGCATGTGTTTTATGGATCTGCGAGCTAAGGCTGGGGTGATCCCACAAATGTGGTACCAACACGGGCAGCGCTCGGCACGGCGCCGCGGAAAGCGAGAACTGAGAGCCATTAACTACCTGTATCAGCGTCCTTGTCTCGGGCTGCACAAAACTGATGTTCCCTGGGTTAGTCCGTCCCCTGCGTTAAAGTGCACAGAGCATTGGAAACAATTTTAGGATTCAAGCATTATAAAGGAACCATAAAGAGACCTTCGCGCTTCAGGCTGGAGAGGAGAGTGGGCATTGTACCCACCCAACAGAGCATTTGCCTGTCAAAATCTTTCTCTTTAGGTGAAAACATTGCTCTGGACATAGAACGATTACTTTATAGAACATTTCACTGGGTTTTATTAAAACGAGAAAACTACTGAACTTTTCCAAGGTCCTTCTCTTTTCTCCCCATTTGTCTAATGACATTCAGGGTTTCCCTTCTACTGTAACTTCTTCACCAGACCATGGCCGTATCTTTCAAAAATTCCCCAACGTTGAGAAAAATACAAGTAGCAGAAACGCAGCACAGTGCATGTAATTACAGATCAGGGTCAAAATAGGCTGGTAACGGCACCACTCTCTCTCTACAAGTCCCTAACCAAGAAATATATGTGCCAGCACTTCACTGGAGTTAGCAACAGGAGGAGTAGCTTTGTATCAAGACATTTACATTTCCCTTTAACACTATCCCGACGGCCTGGTAAACTGAGAAGCTGCTCTCCCCACCCTGATATCATCAGATCGAGTAAGAGATACCCCCTCTCCCTATAAACCTGAGGTGCTGCTCTGTGAGCTGGTTTGTTTATACACGTACCAGGCAAACCTAGTCTTTAAGAAGCAGAAAGCAATGAACACAGCCACAAGCAATAAAGGTCTGAAAGACCTTCCTGCAAACTCAAGCTGAGTGAAAAAATCTGAGCACTACTTAAAAATTTGTCGCTGCTGGCAATCCCAGAAAGCTGGGTTGTTGAGGGCTTAATTGCATTTCTTAATCAACTAATACCTACGCCTCTCTGAATAAGCCCTGCGGAAACTGCAGTAGAAACTCAGGCTGCTGGGAAAAGTGTGGCAGCAGCAGGGGCCACACAAATAACCACTCTCGGAGCATTCGGCTTATTGACAAACTGCAGATTTAGGGAATAGCCGAGAAATAAAGCGAGTGCTCGCAGGCAGGGGGCTCAGTTCGTTCAGACTGGGGGAGCGATGGGGGAGGCAGGAAGGAGGAGCGGAGAAAAAGTGTTCAGGAGCCAAACCGAGAGATAAGCTGCTTGCCAGGATGAAGCAAAGGCTGAGTCACTCCATGTTAAGGGCTTAGGGATCAGAGGGGAGACTATTTTGCACGCTATTTCCCCCGGGGCCTCCTGCCTCCGAGCGGCTGTCTCCGGTGACGGGGCACACGGCAGCGATGGTGTTCGGTGGGGTTGGCCCCGTCACGCCGGCTGCCCCAAGCCCAGCACTGCCCGCACCCACCACCACCCTACCGAGGGCCCACGCTCCAGGCACAGCCGTGGGGTGGGAGGGGGACTGCGGGACGACAGTGAAGCACAGCCCACGCCGTGCTGTCCGGGAAGGGAGCTGAACATCTCCACTGTGACCAGGCTGTTGTTTCTGGTAGTTGCCACCACTGTGACTTGATCCTGCCACAATGGGAAGCACCGATGCTGGGCCCCACTGGGAACACGCCCCCAACACACCATTTCCTGCACCAAGCCCTTCTGTTTGGGCTTTTCCACTCAGGTAAGCAGGTTTGTACAGGTATGATTAACACTTCTGCACAAGTCTTGTCCCAGAAGAGGGCATTTTGGTTACATTTCCACTTTACGCTTCCTCCTTCCTCTGCTCTCCCTCCGTGGTGCTGCCAGGATGAAGCTCAGAGTAAGAAGCTGTAACATGCCTCAGGGGTTGGTATCAGGGAGAGCCGGGATCACTCCAAGCTGCTAAATGCACAGCTGTCCTAACACCAGCCTAAAACAGAGACAGCAAGCAAGGCTGTGCAGAAAGGCAGCTATTCTGCAAGGGGAAACTGAGGACATCCAGGCACGGTAACCCCCCTGCACCTTGCTGAGAAGAGTCAGGTATTCCCAGGCTCGTGGTAGCACAGATGCTGCGCAGTTCCCACCTCCTCCTCTATGCTGTACCAAGGCTGTGTCCAGCCCCGTGCTACTCCTGCGTGTACAACACACAGAAGCATTTGGAAGATCAAGGTCACAGTTTTAACTTCAATTTCAACACTGAAACATCTGCCACCTCCTCTAGCAGGAAATGAAGGGAAAAAAATGCCATCATCAGTAAGGCATTTGCTCTGACTTGATTCTTGCATGGGATTTCTTTT